TGGAAATTTTATCTTTTCGGTTTTGAAGCCCTACCTTCGTAGAGCCCGGTTTTCAATTAAGCTCCCGATTTTCAACATAGAAAGACATATTTAAAGCCGAAGTGCTGTCCAAATTACTATTTTAACCCCTGGTTAACTTAAGGTGAGTTCAATATATAGGAACAATTGTATATTATGTGTTATATGTGCTATGTGCTTTTCAGTGTTATTATTCTGAGTTATTTTCTCGTGTTATTCCCTATGTTTATAGCAATTGTAATACCTTTGACCATGTGATCAGTGAAAGGACTTAGATTCACATTGGTACTGGTACGTAGCCTATGTCCATGTAGAGCATGTCTCTGTAAGAGAATGACTTCTATTCTATGGCATTGGCACATGGTTAGACAGGACTATAAGCCGGAAATCTAACAAGATGTTAATCAGAAATTGCATGTCTTCTATGCCATTTGGGCCAAAGCTTTATTGATGTATATCAAGAATTGAAAAGTATATCTTTGAATAAAGTCTTTGATTGATATGAATGCTTGTCACATGATCTCACATACATCTTGTTGTTCCTCTTTGCTTTTGCCACATTGAAGTATATATACGGCATAACGTTATATTGTATCTATTATTGAACTCACCGCTTACCTTATCAATGTTTAACAATTGCAGTTGATAAGTAACTAGTATGTTTACATACTATTGAAAGATTTAGAATAGTTTGTAATAGTACACTTTTGTACTACAGTTTATGTTTGTATAAATTACAATATCCTAGGTAGTTATGTAATATATATAACACTTTGTAATAGAAGGTTTGTATCCAATAGTTTGTATTTCCCTTTTATCAATGTAAAATATTGCTTTTATGAATATGCAAATAGCATGTTTTGGAGTAATGATATTGTGAAGTATGAAAGTTTAGGTTTTTCAAAAATTCGAAAGTTGGGGTCTTTTAATATGTAAATGTATTCATGTAAGCGTATCGATGTAGACGTATTCATGTAACATGTAATGTTTAGTATAGACTCAGGAATGAACTGATTCTGGTGTAGTTCCTTGTAATAGGAATAATGTGTTGTATCTCTTAACTATCCCTATAATAGTTAACTGGAAGGTAATTGATTTTCCAAGAAGGTTTATACACCCTTGCTACACAAGAGTGTGGGAAACTGAATGAAGGATGAAAGCTATCATATCAATACATATATAAGAACATAAGTATATAGATATAGTTTTGATCAAGAAGATGAAAATGGTTTTGTAAGACATTTAAGAGTTTTGAAGAATAATTAACAATGACTTGATGTCATTTTAATACACATTTCAAAAGTAATAAATTTTATAACAAAGTGTTTTTAAGATAGAAAACCATTTCATACATCACATTTTGAAGCATGTGAAATCGGTTGGATGAAAACATAGTTATAAATCACATGTGATTGATTCTATAGCATGCTGTTTTCTACTTGTATTCGCCCCCCATTAAAGTATTTAAAATCATTTAAAACATTGATTAACGGGTATGAACTCACCAGTAGATGGTGGTTTGGATGAACTGAATGATGTAGGATTGCTAGGTGTCAAGTGAAGACTTGTACACACACTATGATCCTAGTTAACATATAATCACACATATATGTATCCAATTAGACTTTAAACCACTAATTGATAAAGTGAAGACATCCCAAGATATGTAAAACACCTTGTATAAGTGCTACAAGTCATAAGGATTGCATCTAAGTGTTGTAGGACCTTGCTATTGTGTTTGGGGTTCAAGGGTAAACTCCCTTGGAGTTTACGATTTTGTGACCATAAACCCATGGGTTTACGGTCGTAAACACATGTTATTTTTGACCATTTGTTGTTTTGAAGTTCTACAAGCCATTAGAAGTGTTTCCTCTTGAAGTATAAGTCTATAGAAGAAGTTAGGGCACCATTTCACTCCTTAATGGAGTTTACGGACCTAAGACCATTTCCCTTTTTGTTTATGGTCGTAAACCCCAATGGAATATGGTATTTTGGCATTTTCAAGTCCTTAACATATCAATGAAGGGATCCATGATAGTTACTAAGGCATAGGTAGGGACTACGGACATTTTGACACCCTAAATAGGGTTTACGGTCCAAGAACACCTTGGACCGTAAACACCTTGATCTTGGTGTTTCATGGTGTTTTTCTTGATGTAATGAAGTGTAACAAGCTTTACAATACACTAGGGTACGAGTACTTACTAGTTAGAAGCTTGAAATGAGCCAAAAGTCCAAGAGCGCTAGTGTGTGTTCTTGGTGTTCTTGGTGAAACTTGAAGATTCACCCTTTTGGAAAGATCTAACGGATAGAAGTGTGTTAAATCACTAGATTAAGTGATATACTAACTCAAAAGGGCTAGAAACACTTACTAGATTTGAAGATCTTGAAGAAAACTTGGATGATACTTGAGAGAGTTTGGGATTTGTTCTTGAAAAGGTGGAAAAGTGCTAAAAATGGCTAAGTGCCACTTTTATACTCCTCCCCTTTAGGGTTTACGGCCTTAAACACAAATTTTAGGCCGTAAACTCTAAACTTTTGATGTGTCGGGACTTTATTGTTGCACAATAAACCCTAGGGCATCCTCTCTCTTGATATCTCCGAAAGTGTTAGTCATAGAATACTCAAACTTATTCCAAAAAATCTGAAAATTAACAGTAACTGTTCTGACTTCTATGGATTTGATATGTTATACATAATGGAAATTTCGGGTTGTCACCCATACGCACAATTAAGTTTGTATATTGAGCAGTTGTATATCTTTCCACATCGCTTGTCTGGAACAGAAACTTCATTTGTTTTCCCTTCTTATTCTTCCCAACAAAAACTACTTGAAAAGGTTTCAAGTATATCTCACCATTGACATATTTCTTCAGATCAGCTTGGCTTTTCAACATTGATTGAGGAACTGACATTTGTTTTCCTATTGGCATTGCTAATTGAATGTCAGTTAATGCTAGACAATCATAGTAATTGTCTTTGAAAAACTTGATATGTCATAATCCCAAGCACAACACTTCTTTGCTGGTTACCTGAAGTTTCGAAGCATCTGAATCCTTGAGAATGTATGCAACTTGAATAAGATCATTCAAGTTCATTAAAGGAAAGTCAGGAATGGGGAAATTACATGCAACCTTTTTAGCCCTCACAACATGATATCGAAAATTTTACAGCATATTTTCGAATAAGTCATCCTTTGTAACACTTATCACTTGGACAATCTTCACAAGTTACCATACCTCCTCCTGTTCCTTTCCTAAAACTGCTTGAAATCTCAGCTTTATATGAGTGAAATTATCTGGATTCTTGAATTGATCCATAATCTTGTATTGAGCAGTAATGAACATCATCTCATTTATTAGGAAATTGAGTTGATTCATTTCTGAGTTTTCGATAGCATAACTCTTCCTAGGTTTCTTTTCGAATTCATGCATTTCATTATAAGCCACCCTTGCTTCGATGTTTTCATAACTCTGCAATTTTCTGGGATCTACTTTGTTCAAATGTGGAGGATCATTTTGATGTAGTCTCAAAATGCTTTGGATTTGTCTTTGCTTCTCCATCTCAGGCTCTATTTCTACCTTTCTTTCTTCTTTTGATTTTTCAATTAAACCTTTTCCCCCTATCTTGATTTGTTGGTGTTTCTTTTGGTTTCAATGCACTCCCATCACCAGTTGTCCCAATCACAATGCCTTTTAAAATTTGCCTTGTAGTTGTAACAGTTGAAATCACAGGGTCAGCTTTCGACGTAATTGGTTTTGTTGTAGGAATGTTTGTTGCAAACACTTTACCAACAACCTTAGCTTCATCTTCAGTTTTCCCAGAACCTCCTTTACCAATAGACTTTCTCTCTCCCCCTTGCACCCCTGTGATAATAGTGGGACATTTGTTGGTAGAAAACTGACAAGATGAGATAACGGGGCTAATTCTTTTTGAAGAATAGTTTCAAATAATCGAAACTTTTAAGACAAAAACTCAAGAGTTATCAAAGTAGATGACCCTGACTTCGAAACATTTTCTTTTAATTAAGTCAGCAACTTGTTGATTTCCGAAAAGCTCTGAATTTCATCCTTGGACATTTGCTCAACCTTCGAACCAAAAACTTCATATAACTTGACAAATTTCGTAACTGCATCAGCAATTATGTCAATTTTCTGATTTAGGGAAGCATAGTCTTGTTGAACAACAACTATCTCCTTGCTCATATCATCTCGAAGGTCTTCAATCTCTAAGTTCACATCCTCCCTAACCTTCTTGACATCTTGAATGAACAAGATCTGACGTTCCTTTGCAACAGCTTTCAGGTCTTTGAGATCTGAATAGAAAATAGATAATTGATTCTTCACATGTTTCTCATTATTTCTGTCAACATCAGAAATTGCATCATGAAGACGACCTTCTTGTCATTTAAGCATAAGATCAACTTCTAGACTGGATACCGAATGTTTCCCTCCTCCACCGGCTTGAATTTGTAATAAAGAATTGAGCTTCCAATTCTAGATTTTGAATTGTTTACCTGTAAGAATCATATTATCTGAAATTTCCTCCTCTTCTGGATCAAACTGAATATCTCCAAAAGTGCCACCAAAAACATTCTCATCACCATCGAATGGAGTATGAGCTTCTTCATTAGTAACTGAGGGTTCAGTAGATTGTGAAGAAAATAATGAAGCAATAGGTTGATTAAGAATATTATAGAAAGTGGGTGAGTTGGTGTCAAGGGAGGTGGTAACAAATGGAGGTAATTTGGTTGAAGTGTCAATAGTTGAAGTTTCAAAGAGAGAAGAAACAATAATAAGAGTACCTTGAGGCTGTGAAGTTTCGACATTTGACACCAAAAGAAGAGAAACGATGATTGGTTCTAGTTGAGACACTTGCGAAGAGATAACAATCATTTCGACATTTGAAGTGTCTTGAGATTTTGTCACCAGAGGATCCTTAATAACTTCTTCTTCTGTGGATTCATCATTAATCAACAACTTTCAAAGTTTCTTTTTCTGTTTGTTGGAAATGTGTTTGGCCATATCTTCGACTTTGCGTTTCTTTGCTGATGAGAAAACAGGAACTGGGACTTCACGAAGCACAACACCTTTGCTTATAACGTGTGGCTTACGAATCATTGATGGAGAAAAACTAGGTGACCAGTCAGAAGAACTTCTTGAATTGTGTGTAATCTTCTTGATTCTCTTGAACACCCCAGTTTTCGAAGAAACCACTTCCTTTTGAGGTTCATTAGTCTCTAGTTCAATTGGTTTTTCCTTAGGCTTTGAAACAGCTACTTCTTTCGTTTGTTTCTTCTTTGGAGACTTTGATATTTTCTTCTCCTGAATTGGTTTCGAAGGACTCTCCTCAACATTCTTTGAACATCTACATTTGGAAGAACCTTCTTTAGATCGAGGTAATAGAACACCAGTCTCGATTGAGGGATTGATAGTTTGCAAGTAAGCTTGTAAAATGGAATGTGAAGAATACACCTTTTTAAGCATGCCATTAGGAATCCTAGCAACATTAGGAAATTCCTCAGCATCATCTTAAACTGCCTTCGGAAAGTTATACTTCAAAAATTCTGCTTTTGCCTCATCATTTGGTACCATTATCCCTTCATTTTCATATGCAAATCTAAGAATCAGACTCCAGTATTTAGCACAAGAAATACCATCCACCACGTTTGTGTCTTCAACACTCTTGAGAAATTCCTTCCACATCTGTGTAACATAATCCACGGGAATATCATAATATATGCCAACAACCATAGCATAAACTTTCAATCTCCCTTTATCTAATCCAACACTTCGACTAGTAAGGGATCGAAGGTATATGCCAAATCAAAAATTCCAAATACAAGGGAGGCATGATTTCTTGAATTCACTTATCTTAGTGAGAGTGGGTTGATAACCCTTCTCGTTGAACATATACAGAACTTGATCATTTGTGACTTTGTAGAAGGGAGGTGAATTGGGTATTTCCAAGATTTGACAGAAAAGTTTTGAAACTTATTTTCATTGATCAGATTGAAGGTTATTACATCCAATGTTTTGCTATATGTGGCAGTAGAACCTGCAAGTGTAGCCAAGACATTGGAACCGCAAAGGGACTGAACTTGCAGTCTTCAGAACATAGTGTTGTAAAGCCACAATCAACATCCATAACTCTTTAGGATAAACGGAGACATCACTCTCAACTTGATAATTTGTGCTTTGGATTTTCATGATGGGTTGTGAACAAACATCTTTTGTGGTTTGAGATGGAGCATCAATGGTAGCGGGATTAGCCATGATTAGGGTTTGAAGATGAATGAAGAAGACAAAGAGTTCTTTTTACGATCTGGGAATTTTCAGAAAGTGTAACCGTGTAATAAACCCTTGAAACCCTTTTTATAGGTGACCCTTGGATTTGAATTTGAAGCGAGATCAAAATTAAATGATAGTTGATGTGGCACCTTGAAAATTGCACCCATACGCCGATAAAATAGCCATGCGTGATAGAGTGAACATCACTTCTCCTTGAAACCCGGACATAATACAAAACGTCATGTCATCCAGCCTGGTAACATGCCCTAATGGAATAAAAACTGTGTAACATACACGTTTTAAAATCGTGTTTTGTAATGAATAAAATTGTGAAATATTATGTAAAATTGAGTGTTAAGTTCTAACAGATGGTTTTTACTGGAAATGAAGTAAAACTATGTTTAGAATCACTCAGAAAATATTGGAAGTCTTATGAGATTCCAATTAAAAGCCAAATAGTGAAATTTAGCGAAAATATGAAATTTTAAATAAGTAAAATTTTATTATTTGATGTTGTAGAGAATCTCGTTAGAAATTTGTAGGCGAAAACCTCGTCAAAATCCGAGTTATAACGAAGAAGTTATGACCAACCGAAGATCCGCGACAAAACCGGCACGACGCCGAATGACGTAAAAAGTGAGTTTTTGATAAACTACTTTTTAGTCTTAGTAATCTAAATGAAATTCGTAGTATTTGTTAAACCGAGAAATTCGATTAAAAGAACGCCAAAATCTGACTTCGTATGAGGAAGTTATGATTTTTCGAAGTTTCAACTTAGCAGTAAACAGCTAAAAACCCAAATTTTAAATCGAGCGATATTTTACCGATACATCCTAAACGAGAATCGAAGGTCTCGTCATATGTAGTACAATGGTAAAAAGTCTGACGAAAACGGATGTCAGATGAAAAAGTTATGAATTTTTAACGTATTTTCCTATCCCGGTTTGTTAAAAATAACAATATTTAAAATAAAATCAAAATTAGCCGATGATGTCTAAACGAAAGTTGTAGAGTGTAATTTTAGCTACGCGTGCATATAAAGAACATAAAAAACGGAGCTCATATGCGAAAGTGATGGATTTTAGAAGTTCGGGGCTCAATTTCCGAGATTTTCGCATGAACAGTACCAGCCACCGGAGACCTCGTCGCTGACACGTCACTCGAACGAAGCAGCAGCGTCACCGAGGTCGTGGCCCAATCCGTAACTGATACGCATCCTATTCTGATTTGCCGAGACTGAGGTCCTGTAAGAGCCGGACACGCCTCGCATCGATGGGCAATCCGATGCGAGCCACATCCCTCGCCTTCGCCACCGATGCTCGCACAAAGAAGCCACGTGCGAGCCACCGAGCTGCTTCCAGACCGAACCTCGTAGGTGCGACGTGGACTCCTCCCAGCCGCAGATTTCCGAATCTTTGCCCCTATATAAAGAGAGGATAGGATGCGAGATCTTCCGACTAACTTTGGAAATTTGCCACTTTTAGCCTCTGTTTCCATATTTTCTTCATATTAACTTTCCCTGAAGCCCCGAAATCAATTTTAGCACCCAAAACACGTCCCGAGACCCCCCGAGAAGCCCAAAAATTTTATGTTTTCAGTTTTGAAGCCCTACCTTCGCAGAGCCCGGTTTTCAATCAAGCTCCCGGTTTTCAACATAAAAAGGCATATTTAAAGCCGAAGTGCTGTCCAAATTACTATTTTAACCCCTGGTTAACTTAAGGTGAGTTCAATATATAGGAACAATTGTATTTTATGTGTTATATGTGCTAGGTGCTTTTCAGTATTACCATTCTGAGTTATTTTCTCGTATTATTCGCTATGTTTATAGCAATTGTAATACCTTTGACCATGTGATCAGTGAAAGGACTTAGATTCACATTGGTACTGGTACGTAGCCTCTGGCCATGTAGAGCATGTCTCCGTAAGAGAATGACTTCTATTATATGGCATTGGCAAATGGTTAGACAGGACTATAAGCCTGAAATCTAACAAGAGATTAATCAGAAATTGCATGTCATCTATGCCATTTGGGCCAAAGCTTTATTGATGTATATCAAGAATTGAAAAGAATATCTTTGAATAATGTCTTTGATTGATATGAACGCTTGTCACATGATCTCACATACATCTTGTTGTTCCTCTTTGCTTTGCCACATTGAAGTATATATATGGCATAACATTATATTGTATCTATTTTTGAACTCATTAAGCGTCACCGCTTACCCTATCAATGTTTAACAATTGCAGGTGATAAATAACTAGTATGTTTACATACTATTGAAAGATGTAGAATAGTTTGTAATAGTACTTTTCTGCTACTTTTTATGTTTGTATAAATTACAATATCCTGGGTAGTTATGTAATATATATATATATATATATATATATATATATATATATATATATATATATATATATATATAACACTTTGTAATAGAAGATTTGTATCCAATAGTTTGTAAATCCTTTATATCAATGTAAAATATTGCTTTTATTTGCTTTTATGAATATGCAAATAGCATGTTTCGGAGTAATGATAATGTGAAATATGAAAGTTTGGGTCTTTCAAAAATATGAAAGTTAGGGTCTTTCAAACTGTCTGAAACCTTTAAAAAGGAGGTTAAGCTCTTTCACTTTTGGGTGGAAAAGCGAAGTCATATGCCAGACTTTCAAAATCATTAGCCTGAGTTGGTAATACTCAGAACCTCAAGGATTTCGTGAGTGCAGTATGCCATGGAAAAAGATAAGAAACAAATAAAGAAGAATTTAAATCTGTCATGTTGAAAAATTAAGTTTTCAACATAAAAGCAGATAAATCCCGGGTAAAGATTGCTTCATTATTCATCAAGAGAGATGACTAACAGCTTGTGTGGTTTCCCGTGAATTACAATCGAAAACTTGTAAAGAATTATCGAATGGCCTTTTTTTAATAAGCTTCTTGGGTGGTTTAAGATTTCGTTACATATCAACACTTAACATAAATGTGAGTAAGTGTAACAGAAATTACTTGTTTGATCAGTGTAGTTAGTGACAAGTAGGCTTTGGAAAAACTTTTGTAATTGACTCAAGAAACAAATAATACTCACACGGAAATCATATTCAAGAAAAAAAATATCACCCGGATCTTGTTGGGAAACAAATGTCATGGGTTTCGAACATTTGATCAAGATCACTCAAAACGATTTAATATGATTTAGAGTACCAAAGGTTGGACAGAAACAAATGTTTCATCAAATCTGGAACAATGTTCCCCATCAATTCCTTAAATGGTTCGATATTTAGGGTTTCACTTTCATCATGGTCTCATGATGCTAGATCATTAACACAAAATGTTGATATGTCTAAATCCTAATTGGTTTTACTAGAGATCTCTTGGACATATGTCATTGTGGGTGAAAGTGTAAGAACTTTTAGATTAAAAAGATTGGTTAAAGAATTTTGAATGTACCACTGCTATTTGTTGGACCAAGCAGATTACTCTAAACTCATTTGAGTAGAGTATGGTAGCTCATGGACTAATATGAATATAGCCTGATTAGGTAGAAATTTTCGTGATGAAAACTTCATTAAGGCTTCTAAATCACACATTGAGTCAAAGGAGTCTTGAGTCAACATGTTGCAACATGCTTCTAGGGAGATCCTAACTAGTACAAAGTTTTTTGAAAATATACCTGACCCTAGAACTGCACGCATGAACCAATAATGATCTTCACTTTAAGCTGTAAGAACAACTAGAAAAACAACCAACAAACAAATAAGAAAATCTTTTTGGAGGTTTGAATTTTTCAAAAATAAAAGACAAAACAAAAGTAAAATCTTTTTGGTGTTTTGAATTTTCAAAAAAAAGACAAAAAAGTAAAATCTTTTTGGTGTTTTGTATTTTTCAAAAAAAAAAAATCGAAAACAAGAAAAGTAAAGATACCAAACTTGTGAAGATTTTTCATTTTATCCATTCACAAAGATGTCGAAATCGAAGCATGTCGAAGCGTTGACTATGAACAGTAATCGTTGACTCCGACATCTGTCTTTCATTTTTTCATCGTATTATTCTTTCGAGTCACTTCCTTGAACTGAACCTCCTTCAATCATTCCTACCCCTGCTAAAATTCGAACAAATGATTTTTCATCCAAAGGTTTTGTGAAAATATCAGCAAGTTGATTAGTGGTTTTTACAAAATGAACTTCGATATTGACAT